TGTAAGACAGTTTACAGAAACCTAAACGTATGTAATCAACAATAATATAAGGATGAACTTCTCATCAGACAAGTACACATTATAAGACTGTTTACAGAAATCTAAACGTGTGTAATCAACAATAATATAAGGATGAACTTCTCATCAGACAAGTACACATTATAAGACCGTTTATAGAAAACTAAACGTGTGTAATCAACAATAATATAAGGATGAACTTTTCATCAGACAAGTACACATTGTAATAAGTGAGAAAAGTTTGGCCTTTTTTAATTTTTGATTTTGTAGAGTGACAAAAGTGATTTTTTTAAACAAAATTATGAAAATTCAGCCATTCTTGTGTGAAGTACAATTTAAACTGAAAAGTGGTGCTTTCTTAGTTACTAGATTCTTTGTACTTGTGTAAATACACAAGTTCTGTGATCAAAACTTCATGATGTTTGCTCTATTCACATCATTTAACGTGTTTTTACTTCGGCTTTTCTGTTAACCATGAATTAGTACTTACGTTAAATTGTGCCTCTCATGGTTTCTAGTCCGTGTGATCACCTATGTCTGATTTGATTATTATACATGTTTTTGTCACTGGACACTAATTATTAACAAGGGTATATCCCAAATTTCATTGTTATCCTGCTGCCATCTTGAGGGACATTCCAAGAAGGATAGTGTGTGATGACAGTGCCGAGATTCAGTCCATGGATGAAGGAGTGTCAGTGACACATTAAAATTCATTTATAGACAAATCTGAAGCATAGTATGTAGGATTAGTCTTTCAAACTTAACATTTTTCATCATTTCTGCTTGACTAAACGTTTTCACTTTTGATAGTTTATGAAAAGAAATTCAAGGAGAAAGTGAATAAAAGCTTGCAAACCAAACAACTCAAACTTTGGGTAATATTCATGATGCTAACCATAAGTGTGACACAAACTCCAAACAACTCAAACTTTGGGTATATCAAGACCATAAGTGTGACACAAACTCCAAACAACCCAAACTTTGGGTATATCCATATTCATGATGCTGACCATAAGTGTGAAACAAACTCCACAAAGGTTAATCCTCAGGTATATCCATGTTTATGATGCTGACCGTAAGTGTGACACAAACTCCACGTGTTAAATTCTGGGTATATCCATATACATGATTCGAACCATAAGTGTGAAAGAAACTCCATACGAACTTAAATATTGATTTTCAGTGTTTGCATGTGGTTTATTGCTCTGTCTGTTTAGTTGTCTTAAAATTTTCACTGTTATATCTTGATAAATTCATTGGTTTAATCATTGTTTATAGTTTTTTTTTACTGTCTGCTTTTGTACATGGAAAGATTCAAATGAAATAAGAAGCACTAATTAAGAAAATGTATCATTATTTTTTTATATTTCTACAGTAAAAATGCAGTAAAATACGTACAAGCCCAGAATCGGATCTGTATCCTAGATATCGAAATTGAAGGCGTAAAAAGTATAAAGAAGACGGATCTTAACCCACGTTATGTGTTTATCAAACCACCCAGCCTGTTGGTCTTGGTACGTCTAGATGCATAACCAGCAAGTTTATGTTTATGTCTGTCTGTCTGTCTCTACATTTTTTTTTTGTTTCACAATATTTGAAGTGGTACATTTGAAATATATCTTAAAATGATAATTTATATATATATATATATTTTTTTTTTTGTTTCACAATGTATTAAATGCAAGACTATAGTATCGGTTTTGTTACATCTCCATTAGATCAGACTCGAATATCAGTTGTAAAACTAATTAAACTTCACCATTTTATGTAACGGATGCCATTTTTATAGTAGTATTTTCATCGTGCCAAAGTATACTTGAAATTTGTTTGTGTTAGACCTTTATTTTTGAAGTTTTCTGTTTTATTTTTGATATGAACTGATTGCTTTTTCTAAATAAATGACAGGAAGAATTTTCTTGCGTAGGAAGAAAGGTTACGTGGTCGAAGAACCGAGACAGAAGAAAGTATTCAGAGAAGATTGGCGAAAGCTAAAGAAGAAATAAAATATGGTAAAAATTTTCTGATTTATCATTGAATATATATATATATATATATTGTTATAATTTCTTTAGAATAATTAATTTTCTCACTTATTAGTTTGGGTAAAAAATAGCTATTTACTCATTTTTTACTGTAATTAAACTTTATTGCTTCATAATTTTGTAAAATCAGGTGTTATTTTAGAAAACAGTGGAAATTATGATAGTGTAATATACGGAAAAAAATAATTTTTTTTTGTATTACTCTGAAAAGATGAACTGGTTGTCTAAATTTTCAAACCTTCTTTAAGTTATATGTACTTTTAGAACACTTTCAGAAAGAGGAAACCTACCTTGTTCAATACCAACTTTAATCTT